CATCGTCGGTTGTTTTTTTTTTTATATATTCTGCTCTCGAACCATCGTTTTACACATGCACACTCTCTCTATCTTACCCTTGAAGCGCAAACGGCGCGAACAAGTACAATAAATGCCATATAATTAAACTGAAGCGTCGTAAAATAAGATAGTCGAGGTTTGTTACTAGTTCATGACTGAAATCGAATGCAAAGATGTGCATGGATTTCTTTGGATCAATGCAAGCAACTGAAAGGTTAAATGAGTATATTTTAGTTTTGCAAGATATTCTTACAAAATATTATATATCCATTCCCGTGCAAGAAGTTAGTGCAAAAAAAGTAACCTGCGCCGATGAACAAATACTGCAGAGTCGTCATGCATTCACAAAGTCAAGATGGACTCGAACGTCTAAACATTGCAATAAAAAAATATATAAAGATATATCTGTAAGATAACCCTTAATGGGATAAATATGTCTATTTCTTCAAATATTCCCAGAAAGGAAAGTTTCACCCACGACATAAAGTCAAAATATAAAAAGGAGCAAAACACGTGTGGCCTAAATAAATCGAATAAAGAGAACAATAAGTGATGAGATGTAGATGAAACCTATAAAAATTGAATATATTCTTGAATAGTTTGCCAATAACAGGATCTTGAGCAATCGGCTGCACGCTATGTAACAGCAGTCCATTTTTTACGTTTCCTTACTCTATGCCTACAGACGCTGAAGAAGATATACTCAAGTAACCGATACTACAAAAAATTTTCGTCGCGCACTAAAATAGGATAATATATTTAATTGAGTTATTTAGTTATTAATATGTAATATTAATAACTAAATAATATGTAATTAATATGTAATATTAATAACTAAATAATATGTAATTAATATGTAATATTAATAGCTAAATAATATGTAATTAATATGTAATATTAATAACTAAATAACGTGAATTATGTGCAACAAAATTCGAATGAGCTCATTGGTGTAAGCATGATACCGAACTCAACACAAACTCGTCAATAATTCGTTGAAAAGCAATGATGCAGTATGCAGTATCTTTCATTGTTTACACTAGACATGGTCTATATCACTAAACCTACCGACATATTATATATACCTATCGAATTGCGGTCAAATGACGGCTTTTGAAATAAACAATTATAGTCTTTTCCAGTTGTTTGTAATTAATACAGAATTTAGCATAAACAATAAACACAATAATTATCATATAATAATTAAAAAACTTATTTTTCGGGCTTTAGGAGCGGTTGTTTGACCGCTCTAGTAGGTTTAGTGATATGTACGATGCATTAGTACTTTAGTCTATAATTATAGCGTTGTACATAGAAATCGTCTTCCGAAAAAGAGAATAGCATACTTACCTTCGTAATGTCGTTTAAAATATGTAATGTTTAAGTCGCTTTTTCTATTAAAATTTACCCGCTATTCTATTTACAAATTGTTTATAAGTGGATCTGGGAGGCAAAATTACTATGGCTACTTAGCAGTCTACTAACCGTGCAGATTGTGATGTTCGTATGCGAGAGAATTTGATATGGGAAAGAGAAGATTCAACACAAGAGATTACGCCAACAAATAAATTAAACAAATTTTATTGCTAGCCCACTTATAAAGGAAAACAAGAGAAACAAATACAAAAAAGAAAGAGAAAAACAAAATTCGAGGCCAGGCAATACCACGCACGTAATAACAATCGGACAAGGCGGCATCGTCGAAGAGGCACTAATTTTTTCGTGCAGGCATGAATGCTTGCCCGCGTCAGCGTAAGTCATACGTACGCACGGTAACGGCGCTGTGGGGAAGCTTACGTTGCCACCGCTGTCCTTAATTCTGTTGTTGCTTTTCCTGTTTCTCCTTGTAACTTGAGTTTCCGATGTCAGCTGGTGAGGCGCCGGCAGAGCCGCTGGGAAAGCCGGCTCGCATGCACACCATGCTGACCCTCTCATGCTCGCCTGCGGGCATACGCCTAACGCGAGCCTCGAGTACGTTCACTCGCACATACGTTGAGCCGCACCCTCGTCACTCTTCCGTGCTTCCTATTTCTTCTCCATTCCTCTCTCATCACGCCATCTCCGCCTTCACGATTTACCAAAATCACTTCCGACTCCACTAATCCGTACCTCAAACAAACAAACCGGGCATAAGTCGTCAGTTCACGCACACACACACACATGCATCCACTCTGATGAAGGTACGCATGCAAGTACCAAGAAGTAACGAGCGGAGAGGTTATTGCTAGCATAACAGCTTTCCCCGTCATAGACATCAGAATGAAAGATCTGTTAAATTCCTCTAACCTAATCATAGACTTTCATCACTAACGTCTTTATGATCAATAACTAAAAAAACTATACGAATGTCAGATATTATTTAAAATTCAGAAAAGATAGGTGGCATAGTGAAGAGATATGAAATGGCTAAAAAAGAGATCATGGTTGTTGGTAATAGGGAAAATAAGCCAATTTCTTTTTGGAACACTAGATAAGAAAGTAAACAAGTAATTAAAAAGATTAATAGATTCATCAGCAAATTCTATACACATACACAACACAGAATGTCATGCATCCCTCTCTTTAATTCCTGTCTGAACAAATGTATTAAATGAGTGAAGTAATTTCGAAAACTGCATCCAATACGCGATAACAACAAAACCGCACTATTATCGAACTCATAAAAATTTCCGATGTAGAAATAATACTAATGAATTTGGAGTTAATATACCGTGTACAACTACCACTCGTCGATTACATGGATTATCTGCTATTTAAAGCATTATCGCTACCTCTGTTACAATGGTCTTCCAACATCGCATCAACATTCACATATTGAGCCTAGACAGCTTAAATAAACGCAAACGCTTACACACGATATCCGATTATCAGTTACTACTGGTTATTCTCTGTAAACTCCACAGAACAATTGTAAACATGGAGCAATTTGTAAATAAGCTTATAAATATCAAATGACAATCATTGGGACAGGAATTCTCACATTACTCTTAGGATGTTACTTACTAAGATTGTTTGACTATCAACTTCACATAAAATACGACAAGGTCAACAGTAAAAATTTTTAATTCTACCACCCTGAAATTAACAGCATTCATAAAAAATAACGATAAAAAAGCACATATGCAAATAATGCAGAAATTTCGACATGACACGGAAACTACAATAAGTACAACAGATAAAACTGATTTAAAACCACACCCAAACCCTCTTTACTACGGTAAGAACTTTAACGAAAAATACGAAAGGTGCATAATCTTGAAAAATATAACTCGGTAACCTTCAAAGTCAAATCAATTTAATTGATATTTATGTATACAACCATAACAGTTATTACAGTAATAATAATATTGATGATCTTATAGCGTTTTCAAACCCTGGGGGACCTCTACTATTAATTTACCAAAGAATGATTCCAGGTACCGTCATGTCACAAAGCCAAGATCAGGAAAATAATGAGCAACACTCAGTGCCCTTGCGACGTCATCATCAATCGATAACCTCGGTTACATATATGGCTAATATATCACAATCAGTACTCGTCAATTCCCATTTAACGGGACGTCATATGATCAATAATTATTTAATCGCTTGACTCCTTGAACACCATCTATGAAAATCAAGAAAATCAAGTCAAAACACCATATATTCGAAAAGCAGAAGAAATCAATAATTTTAATAGTTATTACGATATTTAAGATATTTAACTATATAATCTTATATTATAAAAATATGCAATGCCATTATTAAAATCATAAATAAGAAATGTTTTATGTAAAGAGAGAGATCAAAACACAAGAATTATTAAGGGTAATGACAAGTCGTAGCTTAATAGTCTTGTCGCGCTTTACCTAAATTCAGTACACAAGCATACATGCCCTCATTACAATATACGAACACTCCCGGTCATCTGATCTCAACCGCTCAGTCTCAATAGACAAACTTTAGCTTAGTCGTAGAAACAGTCGTAGGACAGTCGTAGAAGAGACATTAAACCAAGCACTAATTAAAATTTTGACTGCAATTCCTTACATTATGTAATTCATTTTATAGTCATTTCACGCATTATTGTGTACAAGGATCTCCAATCCTCCTGTTTCTTGTTGTCCTTCGTAAAGGACGACGGACCACGATCTTGGATGTATCATAATTGGGTATACTTGAAACGTTCGACCTGCATCAATACGTCGCATAACTAAATGTTTATACATTGTGATAGCATGCCAACTTTCTCATCGATACACGATATACGAATACGATATACGAATACGATATACGATACACCGATATACGAATATTGAGACGCAGCATATAACATTTTCAACAACGACACTACATATTATTAGCTCGATTAACGCTGAACGGCAAGCCTCGTAACCAAATTTCGAGTAAATTTCCAGATAAATTATGAGATAAATTCGCCTTTATTTAAACTTGCACTATATCTAAAGATCACGGATTGTATGGATTTATATAATACTGTGCACACACTCAAGGCTGGAATCCAGAATCACTGCTGATTCTAATTGCGAGCAGACTCAGACTATCAACCTGTACGACTAGTCGTATTGTTCTACAAAAATTCTCAATCGCCTTTTAGTATCGTTACTCAAACAAGTATAAACCACGCGATGGCTTGATTCAATTTCACCTGACGCGAGTACTAGTCAATGGTTATTGAAACAATAAGACACAATCTCTCTCTTTCTTTCTTCTTTATTTTGGAGCAGAATCAAAACTACTTTTTGGTCGACATCCGTCTAATTACTTTATTCCTGTCTTTGCGATTATTTCCATTGTGGAACAAATTAAGTGTCAAGGTTTTTCAACTTGTGGCACTAATAATATAACTAATAGATCTCAATCTCATTTTTTGGCGGACAGTTATCTGACTTTTTGTATATTTTTGGGGGTAATATAAATAATTATTATATAGTGTACTAGATAATACAGTAAGTTTATGCAAAATTTATTTTTCACAGAAATGTTCAGATTATAAAGCATCGAAGGTGGCCACATTCGCACGCACAGAGCCACCCGATACTCAAGTGACTAAGTCAGTAATAGCACTTCTGCTGCATTATAACTGGAACAAGTTCAGTATAATTGCCGAGCGGCCTTGGTTGACGGTAGCAAAGTCATTGCAGGAGCAGGCAACCAAGAGTAACCTTAGTATCAATCATTTTCTTAACGTGGAGGATAGACATATATGCTGTGAGGACAGACTCCCTTGCTGTCAAGGTGGTGGCTGGTTCTCCATTATCCAGGATACCAAGAACATGACTAGAAGTCTGCGTTTCTCTACTACCATCACTACTAACCCTTATCAAATTCACTCCGAACCTGTTCTCTAATCGAAGTGTTCTCTCTGTCTGTCTGTCTCTTGCAGTTTACATATTCCTAGGCACACCTATCTCGCTCATTGAGTTCATGAATGCCATGCAAAACCAGCGACTCCTTGACAACGGCCAATACATGGTTATTCACGTGGATATGATGACCTATACACCAAAGGAGGCTATGAAGTACTTATGGAGTGAGTAAATAGATTTACGTCATTTTTACGCAATTGAATAAATAATTATTGATCTATCAGTTCGTTAATTAGTAAATTGCGTCGTTCGTATATCAAATTATTAATTTACTGATAGATTATTGAACTGATTTATTAGAGCCCGATCACTATGAGAATTTGCGAAATTGTCAAGATCCTAAGGATAAGGATTTTTTAAAGAGGGCTAGATCGCTTATGGTGGTTGCCTCTACACCTCCGACGCAAAACTATGAGGAGTTCACGCAGAAGGTTCGGAACTACAGCAACAAAGAACCCTTTAACTTTCCAGTACCTGAGCGCTTCCTTCTTGATAAGTTTGAAAAGGTAAGTGATCATATAACTGAGTAGAACTGATAATTTTTGTAGATATTGCCGACTCAAGTCGATTAACGTGTATCGCAGCACGTGTCTATTTATGCAGCCTATCTTTATGACTCCGTAAGACTATATGCACGAGCCTTAGATCAATTGCTGCATGACTATCCAGAACTTGATGTTCAAGAAATAGCCAGCAATGGTACCCTTATTATCGAGACCATTATTCGCAATCACACATATCAAAGCATCAGTGGAGCGACTATCAAGCTTGATAAAAATGGAGATTCGGAGGGAAATTTTTCAGTCTTGGCCCTTAAAAAAGAGCCTCTGCAAAATCAGAATTTTTCTTGCAATTTCCAGATGAAGCCCGTCGGACAGTTTCAACAAGGTGAACATTTGGTTAGTATTACTTACTCGATTTATTTCTCTTAAACTTCCAAAAATATTTTTAAGTTTGTGGAAGTTCCATTTTAATATAACTATGGTAAATTATATATTATGTTAAATTAAAAATAGCTACACTTTAAGGTTCTTCTTAATAAACTTCTTGTTAAAATGTATAAATATTATATATAATAACTTGAAGATTTCAATTTTTTTTAATTTGAAACATTTGTTATTAAAAATAACTTTATCGTCATTTGAGTAAATTTAATGAATATCTGAGATCGAAAATTTTTTTGTAATTATCAAAAAATTATAATTTATGTGAATGCTGATTCGATAAAAATTTTAATGATATAAAAGTACTTTGTAATTTTTATACATTTCCATACATATCATGGATAACGAATTAATGATATAACTTTAGAAACGATTGGAAATCATTTAAAAATTTTTTTTTATATCGAAAGATTTGGTTTCACGTTTATATTAGAAAAATTTAGATTGTGTTTAACATATTATTTTGTAGGTTATTTAGATTTGATAAGAGGTTAGGTCAAGTTATTATATATGAGATGTTGTAAGTTTTGACTCAAATCTTTTTCATTTAAAATACGAATCATTAAAAAATAATAGCAATAAAAAAAACGTAAACACCTGATATACGGGTATTTCAATTTATTATAAAAAATATTTCATTTAATTTTTTAATTATTTTTAATTATTGTAGTATTTTTATTTAAATTGAGAATCGGGATTTTTGATTGATTTTTTCAAAGTTTTATAAAAATCTATCCAACAATAACCCTAATATACAAAAAAGTTTCTGAGTCACACACCCAATACATATAATACAATGTAATGTAACTGCGTGTTATTTTTCGTGTAAAATGATGAAAAATAAAAAATTTAGTTTTTACAGCACACCAATTAACAGAAAACATAGTAATCGAGGAATTTTAATATCGAATTTGTATTCAGCTGTTCCAAATATATTGGGATATATTAAACTGACATTTTTTTCGTTAACGTTGAAATAATTAATTTTTTTATTTACTTATTTTTTTCTCTAACTAATAATACAGACATACCGACCTTCGGAAGCTGTGGACTGGCCCGGCAAAAACAAACCTGAGGCTGAGCCAGGGTGTGGTTTTCTAAATGAACATTGCCCGAAAGATGATACTCACGTACGCAGTATCGTTGCTGCAGCTATCCTAGCAGTGCTGCTTTTCTGTGCAGGTGTCATCACTATGAGCATCTACCGTCGCTGGAAAATTGAACAAGAAATCGAAGGCTTATTATGGAAAATAGATCCAGCTGATATACATGGCTATCCTCACCTCGACAACATGATGTCTTCTCCCAGTAAGGTAAAATATTTAAGGTGTTTTTACTTTCGTACCAGTCGCGTACTTATTTTATATTACTCTATTAAGAAGTATTTCCAACAAGAATAAAAGTACATAATTAGTGTTAAATTTGTACCAAAATAGTGAAAGAAAATTTTTATTGTAATGGTGGAGTATTAATCAATAATTCTTCCAGAGATAAAATTCTTGTTTTATTAAATAAGCTCCCCCTTGTGAGGCTAAAGATCGCCTCGATCTGCAACAAATGTTTTTGTTGAGCAAAATTTGAATGTTGTGTATGTAATATGTCGATATAAGCGCTGGGTCAAGCGTGGGAGTTGGAATCCGGGCGAATAATGGATTAGAGTGTAGAGATTACAAACGAATAGAGTTGAGCAAATAATCAAGTAAACATCGCACAGATATCACGTGTTTTTTATTCCATTCCAAATGAAAACGCAATGTCGAGATAGACTGAGAGATTTTCAGTCACATATAAGGTCATATACCAGAGAAAGAGGAAGAGAGAGAGAGAGAGAGAGAGAGTTGAGTTTGCTTTATTTTACCATGGGGTGAAACCCCGTCTGGTGTGTTAAAAATACAACAGAGTTATATAATAGTTTTAAATTATTAACCACTAGTTATTACATCGCTTGAGATATACTTGCATAAAGTATCTATCAAAGAGAAATAGTTTCGTATAATTAAGACTAGATATAATACAAATAATAAGGAATAGCAGTTTAATAAATAAGAGTTATAAATAAGTAACAACTATGAATAATAACAGTAAATTGAGGTTTATAAATTCACTGAATTGATTGGTTATAAAGATTTAATAGCTTATTCATTATTGCTATGCAGTTTAGCTGTTGAGTAGGAAGGTAGTAGAGTAAGATGCAGTAAGTTATATTAGGATAATGGTCAGGTACTAAAAGATAATTATTCGAGGGTCAGAATTGAGCCACATTGATAGTGAGTGCAGAGAAAGGGATGTCATTAAGTGCAGTTATGGGGGTGAGATTCTGAAAAATGACCTTCGACATCCATACTTGAGTTTCAGCAGTAAGAAGTACTACTCTTACTAGGAGGATTTCGTCTGCAAGTGTGCTGTAATACGTATACTCTATAATTCGAAAAATATGTATCAAGGTAGTCAGGCTTTGATGCAGATCATTCTTTAAAGCATAATACCCCAAGGAAGTGTACATGTTTAGTGGATTAAGTAAAACAATTGAACTGGATTCTATGTAAGGTAATATTTTTCGAGGCAATAATATGGTCATAACCTATTACTAACTTGACACAGGCATTCTTTGTTATCTGTAAGTCAAAGACTCTCGTTTTCTCAAAGTCTTGTTAAACTATTGAGCAATACTCAAAATGTGGGAAAATCAGTGTTTCCACAAGTTATATATTCAAAGTAAAGAATAATGATATTTTATAAAATTTTAAAGAAAGTAGTAACGCATAAACACTCCTAACTATTGTATGAACATGGAGCTTTGAATCAAGAGTATTTGAAATAATAACACCAAGATTGGAAACAGTTGTTGAATAGAGAATGCCAATTCTATTTTAGATAATGCGAGGGGGCAATGATATATTAATCCTTGCTATATACACATCACTGCTCATAATAATTACCTTTGTTTTTAACGGATTTAGGTCTAATCCAATTTGAGAAGCCCACTGAGCCCACATTTACTGCGAGTTTAGTTTTACTAATGGGATTATAGAGGTTATTATATACACAATATAGATATATTTGTGTCTCATCTGCATAAATAAGAATCAAATATTTTCTATATGTCAAACAAAATAAGGATTGTAAGTTTCTTATTGTCCATAGCTTGTCTGATATTGTTGGTCAGTGCTATTAAAGCTGCTTTAGTACTGTGGCCGTGACGAAAATCAGTGTGATGGTGGTTCACAATATTATTAGATTTGAGAAACCTTGTAAGCTGGACATGCACCAAGCGTTCTAAAATTTTTGAGGCAGTGCAGAAATAAAAGTGTGAGATAGAAGAAAAATTATCTGAACTAATCGCAGCATTAAAGAGATTGGTCAGATAAAGGAGAGAAAAATAGATAGATAGATAAGCTTTATTTAGCCGTGGGGTATAACTCTGTAGTTACACTGAAAAGTTAAATGGAGGAAAATTGCAGACCAGGTAACAACCAAGTGTTAGGAGCTACTCTGATGATGGGGTGAAGGCGGAAACGTTGAAAAGAAGAGCGATAGACGGTAGTTTCAAAAGCAACGGAAGATTTGTGAAGTGATCGGTGTCAGCTCTGTGGCAAAAAAGGATCTGTTCCATCACCATTAAGCAGCCATACAACCAGAGTTCGGCACAGCGAGTAATATCAAACTCGGTGATGATCAACTAGTTAAGGAGGTATATACCATAAGCCGCTGTCAAAAATTCCAAGCCTCAGTTCTCGAAGCAGTATATGAGAAGGCCATAGGTGGATTACGGAAAAAGTGCTTCAGGTTGAGAGGATTTGGTGTTTTGACGTAAGTTGTAAGGTAGCTCGGGTATTGACAGCATAGTTTTGTATGTGCGAAAGATGAAAGAGATATTGCGCTGACTCTCAAGAGATAGCCACCCCAGACACAATCTATGAAAGATAACATGGGAGACAATGCTTGGTGTGGGAATAAATGGTATGAAGCCTGTGATGAATCTGACACAAGCGTTGAAAGCTGTTTAAAGGGCCAGAGTTCTGGACTTGTAAATTTTCATGAGGCATACGAGGTGTGATCAAAAAGTAAGGTGAATTTTGAAATTTAGCGGGCTACGTCCGTTCGATCTTCGACTTTTTTATTTGGTTATGTCGGTACACTCGTCTAGAACATACGTTCCAAATTTCAGCTTTGTAGTATGTTTGGTTTGTTTGTGAGAGGCATCAAGGTTAGAAGTGTTTTGCGTGCTCCACGATTTGCTGCTGTCTAAAAACATGGATCAAAGAGTTTGCATTAAATTTTGTGTGAAAAATGGAATCAAATGTTCCAAAACACTTGAAATGCTGAAAGTGGCATACGGTGAGTCTACTTTAAGCCCAAAAATTGTTTACAAGTGGTATAAACTCTTCCAAGAAGGCCGAGAAGACACCGACGACGAACCTCGTTCTGGACGCCCCAGCACATCAACAACTGATGAGAATGTTGAAGATGTGAAGAAAATAGTGTTGAGAAATCGTCGAATTACCATTAGAGAAATTGCTGATGATATTGGCATCTCATTTGGTTCGTGCCAATAAATTTTGACGAGTGTTTTAGACATGAGACGTGTGTCAGCGAAGTTTGTTCCGAAATTGCTCAATTTCGACCAAAAGAAACGCCGCATGAGCATCGCCCAAGAGCTACTGAATGACGTCAACGATGATCCAGATTTACTCAACAGGGTTATAACAGGTGACGAAACATGGGTATACGGTTATGACGTCGAGACTAAGACTCAATCGTCCCAGTGGAGGCATTCTGGATCACCAAGACCAAAAAAAGCACGCCAAGTTCGATCAAATGTAAAGGTTTTGCTTACAGTTTTCTTTGACTGCAGGGGCGTGGTGCATCATGAGTTCTTGCCACAGGGTAGAACAGTAAATAAGGAATATTATCTGCAAGTTATGCGCAATTTGCGCGAAGCAATCCGCCAGAAACGTCCGAATTTGTGGAAAATTAAAAATTGGCTTTTGCACCATGATAACGCCCCTGCTCACACATCGTTGCTTGTGCGCGAATTTTTGGCTAAAACTAACACAGTAACGATGCCACAGGCACCGTATTCCCCAGATCTGACCCCCTGTGACTTCTTCTTGTTCCCAAAACTGAAGAGGCCCATGAAAGGACGGCGTTTTGCCACTATTGAGGAGATAAAGACGGCATCGAAGAATGAACTAAACAAGATCACAAAAAATGATTTTTTGAAATGCTTTGAGGATTGGAAAAAGCGTTGGCACAAGTGCATTATATCCGAGGGGGATTACTTTGAAGGAGATAAAATAAAAATTGATGAATAAATAAATATTTTTTGAGAAAAATAAAAATTCACCTTACTTTTTGATCACACCTCGTATGTAAAATGGGGAAAAATTAGTGCTTGCACCAGGTATTTCTTGTCTCAATGGTGAGTGATCTTCTGTAAAACTTCAGGGAGTTTAAGCCAAGGTGAACTCTTTTAACAATGTTGCAGATGTGAGGTTTCCATTGACGAGTTGAGGTGATAGTAAGTCCTAGACTTTTGACTGATGATGAAAATGGTATCTCAACATCATCAACCTTAAGCTTGGACAATGAGTTAAAGTCAAAGGATGAAACATGATGTTCGCTTCCAACAGTCATGACCTTTGTTTTGGCGACGTTGAATTGGAGGCCGTTTGCTCCCGCTTAATCCGCAACCATCTGAGCATTCAATTGAACCTTCGTAAGACCCTCAATAATCTGGGAAGGGATGCAGTGATGGCAAATCTGGGTGTCATACTCGTGGGAGATTATTAATGAAAATGGCGAACAATAGCAAACCAAGGACGCTTCCTTACGTAATTTGCGCCTGTCTGTGCACGTAACCACTGAGAAACGGAATTCCCAAGTTCAATGACAGACTGCACTCTGTCGGTTAGGTAGCTAAAGAACCATCGTAGGACGGAGTCACCAACGTGACAAGCTCTGATCTTAGTAACAAGTAGGTCATAAGGTATATTATCGAAGGCCTTTGAGAAATTAAAGAGGACAAGGATAGTAATTTGTCTCCTATCAATGGCAAACCTCATGTCATCAAGGACACCCACCAAGGCGGTCTCAGTAGAGTGTCCCCTCTTAAAACCAGCTTGTCTAGGATCCAGAAGATCATTAGCTTCTAAATGATCAGAGAATTGTCGGTGCAATATTCGTTCGAAGATTTTTGAGGGTTCAGACAACTGCGCAATGGGCCTAGTATCAGGAGACTGGGGTGATCTGACTTTGGAGAGAGAACGAATGAGGGTGCGCTTCCACGTGGAGGGAAAAGTGAATGATTCAA